GCTCCCGAGGGCTGGGCGCCCGCCTCGCCGTAGCTGGAGCTGAAGCGTGGCTGGCTCAGAATTTATCACATCCCTAAACCATGCTCCCACCTCCCTTTTCCAGGCCCCTCGTGCACGGAGACTTGCTCAGTTAACAGCTGGACTTGCTTCTGCTCTTTTGCACAGCACGGCTGCTGCTCGGACAGGGAGAGCATTGCATAAACCTTATTAATTAGCTTTATATATTCCAGCCCTGCCGTTGTTTCAGTCCCACCAGGCACCCCCTTTCCTGCAAACAGGCAAAACGCGCTTGTCAGGAGGAAACCTAAACCAAGGCAGCCCCAGCTGCCTTTCACCCACGGCATGTGCTCCCTGCCATCAGTGTCCCGAGCGTGTCAGTGCTCGAGCAGCCCCCCTTGGGCTGCCCTTTTTTTTGCACCGGCCGGGGCCGTTGGCACTGCTCCCGGTGCCGCTTTTCAGCGAGTCCTTGCACGGCTGCCAAGGACAGCCTGGCCTCTGAGGGCGTGCGCGGGGCGGGGGGAAAAGGTGTTCGTCCAGAGCAAACGCTCCCCCCAGCCGGGGGGGCAAGAGGCTCAGGGTCCTTCTGTATCGCTGTACCCCAGGACCGGCGAGGGGGGCTCTGCGTGGAGCTGGGGGTGGTGGGAACATCTCTTGGCTTTGCGCCGTGGCTGTGACGAAGAGCAAACGGGGGTGTGAAGCAGTGCTTTACCGAGCGCTGCCTGCACCTGGGCTAAGCAGGTGTTGAATATTTGAACCCAGACACACATTTTTCTTGGAACAGCCACACGATGGTGAGCAAGACCAGGAGCCAGAGCGGAGCGGTGCAGGCAGGAGCTGCCTGTGCAGGGTCCTCGGGGCAAGTAGGGCTACTCCCTGGGAAAGGGCTTGGCACGGGCACCCGGATGAACAGAGACCAGACACGAAGACGGGTGTACCTGTGGTTGCAAGAGTGGGACTGGTTGCAAACCATTGCTTTCTGGGCGGGAGATGAGCAGCGTGGTGAGGACAGCATCCAGTGATGCCCTGCAAGGACTCCCGTGGGTGGATGCGCACGCATTTATTGATAAATACACCGGACACACACTACGAGAAAAATCAAGCGGAGCCACAACTGAACACAAACTGCAAACCTTCACGTTGGCGTGGGGAGTGGCAGGGACCTCCCACCCTACTGGCTGAATGAAGATGTAAACTCTGGGTGATGCCTTCACTACCACGGGGCTTTTCCAGACTGCTACACAGCCAAGCACCAGCAACGCGTTCTCCACATCTCGTTGCCTTTTCCCTTGGCTGCCTCCCTGCATCCTGACCGAGAGGGACCGTGGGCTGTTTTTTGGGGGGTGTGTTTTCCTTGGAGCCCTGTCGGAGGGCAAACCAGAAGGAAGGAGCCACTTGGCAAGAGCTGGCCTGGAGGGGCTTGTGCAGGAAGGATGGTGGGAAGGGGTCCCTCAGGAGAGGGAGCTGAGCAGCCGTCTGTAGATGAAGCCCAGCTTCTCCTGCAGGGCCAGGAAGGTAGGGCGCTCCTCTGTGTTGCCGCTCCAGCACTCCAGCATGATGCTGTAGATCTCGGGAGGACAGGAGCTGGGCCGGGGAAGGCGGTAGCCCCTGGTGATTTGCCGTACGGTTTCTTGGTTCGTCATTCCTGCAAGGAAGGAGAAGATGCCCTTCAATCTAATGCCCCCAAAGGATGGCCTGAAGGTACACCTGCAAAGGGCCAAGATGTCAACTGCCGCTGCTGTGAAATGGTGTTTCTCTGCCGGGAGGCTGGTAGAGGAAAGACTGTGGGAGATCATCCAGCCCATACCACCTTCCCACCCCCAGCTCCTGCAGCCCCTCTGCAAGCACTGAAAAATCCCTCTACGCAATCCTCGAAGTGGACAATAACTTGCTCGTGCTCTTGGAGCTGCTTCCAGATCCATTGTGGAAGAGACAGTATGACAATTCATGACACGTTGGCTTTTGGGGACCATGGGCAAGCTGCCCGGCATGTGGATGGAGCAGCACTGGAGGGAGCAGGCAGCCCTACCTTCGTACGGGATCTGTCCATACGTGAAGACTTCATAGAGCAGAATCCCGTAGGACCAGACATCGGACTTGAGGGAGTAGGTGCGGTAGTTGGCTGCCTCTGGGGCTGTCCACTTCACCGGGATTTTGGTGCTGCTGCTGGTGGAGTAAATGTCATCCTGAAAAGCCATGGGAGATGGGTCATGAGGGATGGTGTGATGAACACAGCCGCTGCTTTTGGGGCTTTACTGGGGCTGTGGGCTGGGAAAGGGGGTGGCAGGGGAACAGCTGCAGCATGGGGCAGCTTGGTGGGCTGGGGTGATGGGAGGGACCACAGCATCCTGCTGACCAACCTTGAGGAGCCGTGCAAGTCCAAAATCAGCGATTTTGCAGGTGAGCTCCTCTCCCACCAGGATGTTTCTGGCTGCCAGGTCTCGGTGGACGATGTGCTTCTCCTCCAGGTACCTCATCCCATCGGCCACTTGGCAGGCGATGTTGAGCAGGTGGGAGGTGCCCAGGGACTTCCCTTCAGGACCTGTTAACCCAGATGATCCAAGCGTTGGGAGCAATCTAGCAACATCTATTTTGGGTGTCCTGGTTTGGACGGAGACCCTGCACTGGCAATGTGGGACCCGGGGAACATGAACAACCTCGAATCAGAGGTCCTGCCTAACCATCCTGGCTGTGCCACGTGGGAAGCTCAGCAGAGCCACGTGCCTCTCATGGCACTGGGATGAGCTCTGAAGAGCGCCTTGCACTGCAATGAGGATGCAGATGTCTGTGGCTCGTTCAAAGCTAAAGGTGACCTTCTACCATGCAAATCTCCAGCCAAGCCTTTCAACCTGTCCTACCTGCAAGCTCCAGCTCCTCCGGCACCAAAGGCTGCTGGAGCCCCAACAAAAAACAAGGTCAGTGTGGGGGAGGGGGGGTGTACCCAGTAGAAAAACAGGTCTTGGTGGGAGCTGTTTGTCTTGTTTCCCTTCAAGACTGATTACTGGGTCAGGAAAAGAAAGGCCAAGAAAAATAAACTGACAGCCGGGTGATGAGTGGACCGTGGCCTGTTACTAGCTCTGCACATGAACAAAACCATGCTGCCGGGCCCAGGCGGAGGCTTGGCCCTTTCATTCCTAGCAGAGGCAGAGTTCCCCAAACACGGCAGTGGGGTTTCTGTCCACTGGTGGGAGCTGGCAGACCAGGGTGGGTGATGAAGGAGGGATGAAGGTCCCTACCAACATGCTTGGGCTCCCAGGAACTGACATGGACCCAAGCCACACGGACATCAAAAAGATCATGCCAGACTGTGTCTTTGGGTCTTGGGGTCAACCAAGACCATCTCCACCAAGCGCCCATGGATTGCTCTGCATTACCACTGATCTCAACAGGACTGAAACCAGGCTGGTGCTCTCTTAGGGTCCCCACTTGGCTTGGTAGGGCCATTCTGAGGCACAGAAAGCATTCGCAGAGCAGCACTGCCCCAGGAGCTGTGGTGGCCATGGTGTCGGCACAGGTACTCACTGTTGAGGTAGCTGTGGAGGTTGCCTTTCCGCATGAGCTCAGTGATGATGTACACAGGCTCATCCAGCGAGCAGACAGCGTGCAGCTGGATCAGCTTCTCATGCCTCAGGCGCTTCAGGTTCTGAATCTCCTTGGTGAAGTCTTCTGCCTTCATGTCAGCTGGGGGAGAAAGCCAACGCTGCTGTTGTGAGCTACTTTCTTATGCAGATGTTGGGAGCTCAGTGCCTCCAACTGGGATGAGGACCTTTTTCCTCCCTACAGCCCACCCCTGCTCTCAAAGTTCGTGTCTGCACACCCTGGGTCTCAGATTCAAACACCCAAGGGATGTTTTCCATGGGGCTTTGGATCCCGTTTTCAGGATCATAGTCCCCTCGGGACTTGACTTATCACAAATCCATTGGACTTGACTTGTCTTGACTTATCACAAACCCATTTGACTTGGCTTGACATGACTTTCCACAAACCCACTGGACAGATCCGTTTTATAAAGGTGAGCCCAAGATTGGGTGGGTCCACAGAAATAGTCCAGTGGCTACTTGCCAAGCCCTACCACAGTTTGCTTGGTAAGACAGACTCAGTGACCGAGAGGACTAGGAAACAAAAGGGGGTGAATGATGTGGCAGTGAACGAGAGACCCAGCTGGCCACTGCTAACATCTGCTCCTCCACCTACCTTTTATGATCTTAATGGCCACCGGCACCGTGTTCCTCCACAGTCCTTCCCACACCTCTCCGAAGTAGCCCTCGCCCAGCTTCCTCCGCAGGGTGAACTCCCAGCGTGGGCGTTCCCAGCCGTCCCTCTCAGGGGGGGTCTGTGAAATGGGCACTGCGTGCTTGGACCAGCCAGCCGGGCAGGACCTGCTGGTGGAGCCTGCACCAGCTCTTGGTGCCCACCAGGACCTGGTGGCTGCGGAGGAGCGAGCAGGACATGATGCCCCACCACCCCGGTTGCACCGGTGCCGCAGCCTGTGCATTGCTTTTCCCTCTGCTAAATGTTCACGGGGGACACACAGCATGTGGGGCACCCGCTGCGTTGCCTCTGCTGGGAGCCGATGTACGCAAGGGGGGAGGTTTTAGAAGACTACATGAAATATCAGGAAGTCAAGTCATAATTCCCTCCTCATCAGACCTCAAAGGTGGCTTTTCTCCATTTGCACCAATAAATAAAAATGAGTAAATTAATATTACTGCATATTATGGCTGATTTAGACTTCAGCTCATTAAGCATTTCTTTCATCTTACACCTTTCAATTTCGCTCTGGAATTATTCACGTGTTTAATTATTATTTCCAAGTCATAATCCGTGAATGGAATTCTAATCAGGAAATGAGTCGGCAATTTGGGATTAATACTCCAATTGGATTTAGGAGTGTCACACTAATTGGCGCGAAAACTACGTAAAAGCAATGTGGTCTTAGTATACGCTAGGAAAAAAATTGGAAGCACAGGTATTTCCAGATTCAGTATCGAAGGGGTTTGTAACACCACTATTTCTAGTCTTTGAGATGGAGAAGACATTTCAGAAAAGCCTATGCGCTTTAGTCAAAAATATATATAAATGTTATGCCCGGCCTTAACATGGCTGATAAAAGGTGATGTTGGCAGATATACTAATCGTGTATTTTAAATTTAGTTTAATAAAGCTCAAATCTCAACTAGGTAGACTAATTATTCCCTATTTTTCCCTAATTTCTCTTTCCTTTTTTCCACCCTGGACATCTCTGGCACCTTGGCCAAGCCGTGCCGTCGGCATACGCACCGCGGGGCTGCAGGGCTGCAGCAAGGGGCTCTGGATGACCTTCCAGTGCTCGGTGTAGAAGGCGAGGAGCTCCTCCATGTCGGGGAAGGGATGTCCCTTCTGGATGTAGAGGCTGCCCGCGGGGCTCTTGCAGATTCGGAAGTGGCTGACCTTCGCGTGGTTGCGCACTGCGGGGAAAACTCGGCGCGTGCAGCCGCCAGCTCCTTCCCACCTCCCTGCGGACTCTCGCCCTCTCTGCCTTCCGGCCACCAGGTCTATCAACTCACCCGACAGCAACCCACCCCGCCCCTGGGGTATCGCGCCC